TAATTACTTCTCACTTTTATGGCTGCCACTCTGAGGAACCAATTTGTATGTACATCTGGTTTATGGCACTATCAGCAACAAAGCACTTTTAAAATGCACAAATACAATTAAGAACTAACTGCAAAGTACAGTAGAGTGGCTAAATGTCACTTTGCCCTTTCAGACAAGAAAAGAAAAACTCCATACCAGGGAGTACTGTATATGCATACTTACATATGGGGCAGAATTGTAATATCTGACAGCTCCCACAAGGTAAAACCACCATATTTTATTGTGATTCATATAGCTGGAGGTAATCTCTGAGTTGTAGGCATATATAGGAGTTAATAAAATGGAAGGAAAAAAACCGCCAAAAATATACTATGGATTTACAGATAACAGTTTTATGCCTACATAATTTCTATTTTTTTTTCCCACCAAAAAAGAAGATTAGAACTCAAGCAGGAGCTTAAAAAGAGGGTGAAGGATACACTAGGTAAGACTAATTTCTATGCTGTCCACTTCAGACACTTCTTGCACCATGGCAAAAAACAGAGATAAGAAACATTAGACTGAGGAAAGAAGAGCTCCAAGAGCATAAAATACCAGTTTGCCTGCTACAAATGGTATATTAATACTGGTTTTCTGCTGAATATTTCAACTGGGGCAGTATTGGCCATAAAAAAAATTCTTCTTCAAGGAAGACAGAAGGAGGTACATATCCCTAAAGTGCATTCCCAGGGCTGTTTAACAGTGATTTTGCCAAGTACACTACAACTTCACAGTACAAGGGTATTTTCACTGATCAATCAAATATTTTTCCAACAGATGCAGACTTTCAAAGTTGTCTTTCAGATATCTGGAAAAAGAAGACAAATATAGTCAACTGATTTTTTTTGCCCATACTAAGCATTTACTGAAGAGCAAGATTTAGTTGCAGGTCTATCATTAGACTGCCTTCATGGCTGCTTCCTGGTGTTGCTTTCTGAAAAGCTTCTTGTACAGAAAAGTATTTTAAAAATGATAGTGGCTGTTTTGGAGACTGACAGCTAAGTATTTACTTTTATGAGAGACAGTTTGGGAAGAAATGCATCAGCAGTAATAAGTACTTTTCTTCAGGACATTATGGCCTCTACCAAGAAAGTCTGCAGTATTTCACAGTAGTTTCCATACTCTCCTTTTGCCTTGCACCATTCTCCTATTCTGCCAAATGTTTTGTACTTCAGTACCAGGGTTGTCTACTTTATATATCAAGATTTTCTAAATCTTGTTTGTGTTTTCAAAGCCTTTAGAACACATTTCAGCTAATGTGAAGATAAATTGGTTGCTTTATAATATATAGAATTATAAATATATAACATTTTAGAGTTTACTAATTAATTTTAGTAAATTAGAGTTTACTAATTAAAAGCAAAAAGAGCTCTTGTACACCCATACATAGGTACATAAGTGCTCACAATCTCTATTTTTCATGCCTCCTAGCTTCTATGCACTTTTCCTAAGCAACTGCTGTCACTGTCAATACAATTTTCTCATACTATGTACCCACTATCAAGCTTTCACACCATTAAATCATTAATGGACAATAACACCTCCAGGAGGTTTACTACAGGGTTTGCTGCAAATCTGCAGTGGAGCACAAAGCTGTAGGTATTTTTGGTATTCCTTTAACAGGAAAGTACAGACATCAGTCTGTCCCAGGGCTTGTTTACTGATGAAGGAGATGGGTATTTCCCTTCTGTAGTTCCCTAAGCCTATCTGAGAAGTTGCCATTTGTATTAACAGATTTGGAAACTGAATAAGAGAACTTGTATTTGCTGCCAACTAAAAATCAACATTAGAGGGAAAGCAGACTGAACAGGCTGGTAACTTCCATGATTATTTTCCAGAAATTCTTGTCCTGATTTCAGCTGGGTCATTGTTAATTTTCTTCCAAGCAGCAAGTACAGCGCTGTGTTTTGGATTTAATAAGAGAATATGTTGATAACACAGTGATGGTTTAGCTAAAAAAGCAGGGCTTACCCTGAGTCAAGGACTTTCCATTTTCCCATGCTCTGCTGGTAAGCAGGTGCACAAGAGGACAGGAGGGAGCACAGTCAGAACAGCTAACCCAATCTTGCCAAAAGAGAATTCCATGCCACAGGATTTCATGCTCAGTGTATAAACTGGAAGAAGATGGCCAAGAGAAGCCAGGCACTGTGTGGGATGGGCTGGGCATTGGCCAATGGATGGTGTGTGAATGGATTGGGCATTAGATGTCTGTCTTGGGTTTTATTTTTCTGTCTCCTTTTTATTACTGACAGAATTAGCATTAGTATTAATATTAGTATATTTTACTTTGTTTCTATTATTAAACTGTTTTTACCCTAACCCACAAGCTTTTTGGAGGGGCAGAGAAAAAGCAACTCCATTGCTCTTTGTTGCCAGCAGGGGTTAAATCACAGTGAGGTAACCTAAAGCTGAGCAGCACTTGCACACAGTGTGAGGCAGGTTTTGCCCAACACAGAAAGAAAAGCATCTCCTGCTCTCAGCTGATTCCCTCCAGCAAGCAGCTCCCAGCGCTTTCACACTCTCTTGCATTAGCCACACAGCTGGACATCAAAACACTTTTAACTAAGTGATCAAAATCTGCAGTCTGAGATCATTCCACCTTGCATGTCAGGGTTTAATGCAGCAACAGTTCCCAAGCCACATGCAGTCCAGCAAAAAGAAAAACCCAACCTAAAATACTTTGATTCAGTCAGATTAAATATCTTTCAGTCTATCATTCTAGCATTGAATAGATGTACTCACTATATTGTATTGCACACCTGTAAGATACAGCTAAAAATTATCCAGGCACAATTAATTGTTTTATCTGACAGATCACATAAGGTATCACAAACTCAATCAATTTTGCTGAATCCACATGTTTTCTGAAGAAAAAATTTAAGTGGGAAGAAAACAGCCATATTTACAATGATTATGTTTGATTAAGAATTGATAAACAATTAAGGAAAAAAAAAATCTCAGCACAATCTCTCTGTCTTCTTTGCAAAGACTATATTAATTTAGCAGAACCAAGAGGAATGAATTCTGGCTCAGAATGGTGTTTTCCCTTTGCTTTTCACGGGACAAAAATTTCATTTTCAGTTTTCCTCTGAATTTCTCATCATGTTGAGGTATTGCTCATTAACTAAACTTGGGGTTTCTCAGCATCTGAGCATCATTTCTCTGCCATGAGTTGGTCTGCCCTGAACAAGAACACCAAGTGTATTTTCCAAATAAAAGCTCTCACAGTTAAAAGAAGCAGAAACACAGAAAGTGACATATTAGCTATCCACACTTGATTGATTGGAGTTTAACCCCACAAGCAGGTCCGTGACCACGCTTTTGTAGTATTGAATTTTTGGAACCTCCAAAAAAGAAAGGCCGGTAAGAGTGGTTGCAAGTACAACCAATTCCCAGGCTGCCTGCCTGTGTCTGCCGTATGCTGCCATGCTCCAGGGCCCATGGGACAGCAGAGCCTGTCCCTGCTGCCCCATTCCCCACCCAGACCTACTCCTGGGCCAGGCAGCTCCTACCCTGCCTTCACTTCTTGCTGCCTCCACTTCTTGCTGCCTCCTGGAGTCAGCACAAGAGAGAGGGCAAGTCATTGCCTGGAGTTACAAAGAAAGTGAAGCGATTTGCAATGGGAATTCAGTCTTCTAGAAGCAGATTCTGTGAGCATAGTATCATTTTTAATGTACTTTCTCATGTGTTAAAGATATCTTGGCCAGTTTTCTGCTGTTTTTCAGTGACGTGTAGTAAGCTGCTCAATTTGACAAGAAAACTTCCAAGATACCTTTCTACCGCATTCAGACTAATTTGGCTGTTAATGTTCCATGATAGAAATAAACCTTTAGGACACATTCTTATAACATTTTGAAAGATTAATTGTTAGGAAGTTATAATTTCCTCCCACTGTGATGGGAATGATGATCTGCTTCTGAAAAACATAAACCTCAAAAATATTATTAGAAGCCTCCTTTTTGCAAATTAAAAACATTGATTTTTCATTACAAAGCAAAGCATTTGACATAATGTGTAGAACAAAAACCCTATTCAAGCACAGACTTACATATGCAAATGGTAAGTCATGAACAGGAATATAGATTATTTGGAATTAAATTAGTTCATTAGATTCTAGTTCTTTCCCCTTTCACTTGCTCCTAACTTGAAAAATACCTTGGATTTTCAACTTTTGCCTTAAACATTCTCTTTTTATGGCCATTTAAAGGTCAGGACTTAATTTAGAAAGGTGGATGAATGTTAAAAAAATGAATGAATGACAGAATGGGAGGTGAGATTCAGCAGTTGTGTGAGCAACTTCAATTCACTTCCCCAGGTAAAGCAAGAATCCTGAGGTCAGCTAATCATTCTTCATGTAGAAACAATCAGAAAGTGCTAGACTTGTCCAGAAAGAGTTATCTTGAATATTGCAGCAACAGCACTTATCAACATGGTATAAAAAATATTTGACATACATGACTGTATTAATAATAAAGCATATGGAAGTCCTGCAAAAGGACTTTCTACAGCACTTCCACAGGAACTGGACTGCCAGCTAGTCCAAGAAAAAAACTCATTCTTTATACTGGTGTGCATTTTTGGTCTCATAGGACCAAATCAGATTGTGTTTCTGAGAAAATTTTTCACGAAATGAAGGCACCCAGGTTATTATTTCTTTTGTATAAAAGAACAAAATTAACAAGAAGATATATGGTATATGCATTCAGGGTGAAGATAATGAGAGCATTCCTCCAAATTTCAGCAATAGCAGTAGTGGGAGTCGTAATATATAACATCAGGAAGACAAAAGTCTACAAACTGGAAGTTAGGCTCTGTTTTACCATAAACTTATCTTCAACAAGCTAGTGACTTATTTATCTGTGCCTTGACACCTCTATCTTCACAGGAAAACAGAAAAAATTTCTGAAGTCATAGGACTGTATCAAAGAAAATATATCAGCCTCAATAAACCAGGAACTTTTTCCATCAAATGCCATTAAAGCATCCATTATTTAATTTCCATTGTATCAATCCAGTTAGTTAATGTGTTACTTCCCTTGATTCTAATTTGTCAAATATTTATTTCAGTCTGCTTACATATTGTCCAGGAAAACAAGTTACACATGAGAGCGTTTCCTCCATGTAATGAATGTAACATGACTTTTCATCAATTTTGTAACAAGTGAAGCATTTGAAGTTGTCTAGCCTCTTGTTCAATATACACTCTGAAAATGCATATTATATTATTCAGACTCAATAAAGAAACAACCACCTTGGAAAATCACACATACAAAACATTACACATAGATGATGAAACATGTGATAAGAATTCCCATTAAATTCCAGTACTTTTGAATGCCAAAAGGCTTTACTATACATAGACACAATAAAATCACTTTGGTGTGTAGGTAGATCATGCTTAAATTGGATTTTCACAGCACAAACAAGGGTTACAGATTTATTAATTGAGGACAATATTGATTATAGCTCTGGAATTGTTCACAGAAATCTAACACTCTTGACTTTTAAGAGGATCAAGTTGTCAAGCTCCTTACTTTAGAATCAATCACTGTTGGGGTAGAAGTTTATGGTATAGCTCAGTTTTATGACCAAATGTTTCCTTTTACAATGTTACATATTGTAAAGAGAAGAGCCAGAACTCTGCTTATCCGGAATCACCTGGTGCCACACTACCTCTTCACCCTGCAAAAGTGTGTTTTAGCGCTGGCTCGAGTACAGCAGATATGGTGCCAAAACCTGGCCATCATCCAGGTCCTTTTCATTTGAGCCGATTTTCAGGAGATTCTTGTTTATCAATAATAAACTTGCTTTAGTTCAAACTGCCAGGATTCCTGAAATATTCCAGAAATGTCTGTCTGGGTGAATCGATTTCAAACTGCAGTCGTAATCTGTGTAAGTCCTAGGTCATTGGACTCCTCTCTCTCCTGAGGACAGTAAGATGACATTTCCACGACTAGTCATACAGGTTTGTTTGCCCCACCTGCTTCCCTCATGTAAGCTGGGTCTTGCACAGTGTTTCTGACTCTGCTGGTGCTTTGCCTGTCCATCCTCATCTTGAAGGGGAAGCAGAAGTCTTTGAAGCATCTCTTGAAGTTTTCATCCAAAAAGGCATAAAGGATTGGGTTGAGGCTGCTGTTGGTGTAACCCAAAGCAATGCAGAAGTAATAGCTGGATATGGCAGCAGTGCTGTGGGACACGTCCCCTAAGGCCTCAACCAGCACAAAAATGTGAATAGGAGTCCAGCAGATGATAAAAACTGCCACAACCACAAGCACCAACCTGGTGATGCGACGCAGGTTTCGATCTTTTTCTCGAGACCCGGAGAGAAGCCGTACGCTTTTCAGGCGCAGAATCATCAGAGTATAGCAAACAATTATAATGAGAACCGGAATAACAAACGCAAAGACAAAGACACAGATTTTCATGAAGATGTCCCACCACACATAATCTCTGTCTGGAAACTGCAAGGAGCATTCAGTGCTAGCAGTATCTAAAAATGAAGGAAGCAAGAAGAAAATTGCTTTGTTATTAGATATTCTAAACAATGTCATTATCATAGCGTAACCTAGGAAAAGTGATTAGCATGTACTGCAATATTAATAAATGGATTTATCATTAAATCACTCCAAGGAAGCTTTCAGTTAGCATTGAAACTGTTTTTATGCAGCTGTATCTAGAAATTACTGAGTTTGGAGCTTTTTTAAATGCAAAATATTGCATGAAATTTCTTTCCCATGGGAGGATCTAAAAAAGTAGAGCACAAAAACAAAATTTGTAAAGTTGTTTCTATTTGAATATCACTGAGATTTAAAACCAGATTGAGTACTATGTTCAGCAAAGTAGAAATCTTATCATTATTATCAAACTATATATTGTCTGTGGGTAGAAAAAGATTTTTGATAACGTGAATGGTAGAAGCTGAAGGTGGTTTTGATACTAAGAAAATTTTGCCAATATATGATAATTGTGTAATAATCTTTTCCCATATGCCTTTTACAGCACAAATAGAGTACACACAAATGCTTACATTCAGGAAAAACTCTGGAAACATCTTCTTTTCCATTAAGTAGAAGCAAATTAAATACATGTGTGCATGGAGTCAAATGGAAGCTACTCTTTTTGCAGATCATGCCATTGAAAATGCAGCCTGTGCAGAGACTGCAGGATCTGGGGCACAGGGGTCTGCCCACTCCCTTTCCCATCACCCATGCCAGGATTCAGAGCCACAGGCTGTCACTTCAATGTGTTTAGCAGAAATATATCATCTGACAGGAGGCGGCTAAGGAATGAAATATTTGAGGTTTCATTTTCTGACCTCATTAGAGCCTTCCAGAATATAAAACACATGGAAAAATAAGTAATAAGATAAATGAAAAGGCAAGAGAAGAGGTAAATTTACAATTCCTCTCAGTAGTTCAGCTCTGCTGAAGATAAGTCAGAGTAACACAGGGAATTTTGACTCTGAATTGTAGCTTAGATTTTATCCTGTGAAGTTCTATGGATTTTTTATCATTTTCCCTACTGAGTTTGTCAGTCCTCTACAAATTATTATATATTGTTTTTCATTGATTCAGATCTAAGAGTAGAATGATTCAGTATACTCCTGCACATCATTTTTCATATCTGCCTCCATCAGGACACATCAGAAAAAAAAAATCAGGCCATATTTCCCTGCTGTAAAAATGCTTCCCAAATCAAAAAAGATATTGCAGAGAATTTTTTTTGAAAAACAAGGGAGGAAATTATAATTTAGCCCATACACACATTTCCATGGTTAGATATCAGAAAGCTGTTATGGGGCAATGTTGAATATGGAAACATTTTAATAGAAAATATTTACAGCAAAAAAAGCTAAATATTTTGAGGTTTTGTTTTAAATAATATGTAAGATTTTGAAAGCTGAAAATAGAAAAGGCATATTTTTCTAGGCTGATGCAGGATAATCACATGACAGCACAAGTGCAACTTGACACTCAGTGAACTTATCCAAATCCTTTGTGATGGAGGTTTTAATAAACATACTTGCTTTCATTTAATTTCAATCTATAAATGCCAATAATCATCTTCAAAGTTTTCCTGTCAATTATTACTGTTATTTGTAGTAGATCGTAGCTTAGCAGCCATGACATAGAATCAGAATGCAGCTGTATTATCTAAATTAGTAAAGCTGCTTCCAGATGTGTGGGATGAAAATGAAGTGTGATCAGGGACGGCTGCTGCGGACCACATCCAGCTACTCAATGAAAACGACTCCCTGAAGAAATGGCCTCTTCAGAGCTTCTGACATAATTTCACATATTTATCAAAATTATTAGGTCATCCTCCCTGTATTTTGCTATAATTTGTGGTTGGCAATGTTATTTTAGAATTCCAAATACAAATACAAACTTAATTATTATCTTGCATCTCATTGCAGTTTACTTTCTATGGAAAATCTTATTCTAAAATCATTCATATTAATGTATTGCACTTGATACATGTAATGCCATATCATAGTACTTTATGGAATCCATTTACATTTACAAGTAGAAAACAGTCAGTAGAAAATCTGATCATAATGCACAACACTATATTAATTTTCTGGAACTTTGGAAGTGGAACATAATAAAATTCAATTTATATTCTATTTTTACTGCCTGAAAAGTTGCAGAACTTATGAATAGTGTCATAATCTTCAGATTTCATACTGACATTTTCCACTTTGAAAGCCAAATATTCCAAATATATTGATATATTTAAGGCAAAATACTGAGTTCTATATGGTATTTGGTGTAAATATATTTTAAAATATGCTTGATAAACTACCATTTAAGATTAATCTTAATATTGATCTAGGAAACATACATATTATATATATAATATTGATTGTGTCACTTCCATACACTTCATATCCTTACTGGCAATATGAATGGTTAATTTTATACCTTTTTTTTTTTTTGATAGCTGAACAAATCTTCAGCAATAAAGGCTCCATTAAGGCCAGAGCAAGAAAATTTACACAGATGTAAAATTTATTTTAGTGGAAAAATGTATCTAAAAGGAGGCACCTGGGAGCAATTCTGAGCTGGATAACAAAATGGATTAACTGAGCACAGTGAGGGAACCTCAAGTATAATCACTTTCCATTTGCTGTTCCGTTGTTCCTTAAATGTGAATCCAACAGAGGCCCTGAAGCTTATAAACAGCAACTGTTTTAACCAACATGACATAAAGTTTCAGGCCTGAGCTCCAGCTGTCAGGCAAGGAGAGCATCCTCGCCTTTCCACTTCAGCATTTATCAGTGCAATTCATGAGCCCACCAGACAAGGTAATTGACACTAAATGCTCAAGAGAAACCTTAGATCAGACAAGCAGGGAGGAACAGTAGCAGCTGACAAGCAGCTGCCAGTATTTCCAGCCTCATTTAGCCCAGCTGTGTTTTGTATTACCAGTCTCTGTTTCATAAATTATAAAAAGGGCTGCATTCATCTACATGGTGTGGAAAAGACATTTAATCATTGCTGGCCTCAGAGAAGCCCCTTGATCTAAACATGCTGCTGACACTGAGTGACAGAGATATTCCATTTGTTGACCATGCTCCAACAAAACACCTGCCTGAGCCAATGTCCCATGGCCTTCAAGATTTCGTATGTAGCAAGACATTCTTCCAAATATGCCTGAAGTTAATGTTTCCCCAGGTAGACCTTGTTTTATAGAGCCTGTCAAAACTTTACTGGGGAGAAGAGCTACAGCACTGCAAACCAAGACATGTGATCCCCCAAAACACTGAAAGAAGAGCTTCCAGAGGACTTCACTGTCACCTGCATAACAGAAGACTAACAGCAAGAACAAAATCTACATATCTTCAGCCAAATCTATCATCCCTTGAGCAGCTGTTACTGAAATGATTTTTCACATTGGTCTATGCCAAACAGCTTAACTTACTGCATTTATTGTCTGCCAGATGAAACAGTTCCCTTAGGTAAACATTTGTCTCTGGAGTGAAACCTTTCTAAATAGAAAACATTGATAGTGCAGGAACTTATGAATAATTTTTCCAAAGGTTGTTTACATCTCAAACAAGACTCCTACCAGATAAATGTCTTGTATTTTATCCAGCCATCTAGTAATGGGATGAACCCAACCCAAGGACACTATTAGAAGTCTCCAGCTTTTTGACGACACCAAGATGCCCCTGCACTGCACTTACACCTGTGGGTATGAAGCACATGTGTGGGAAAATGCTTCTCCCTCTTCCTTCTCAAGGAGGATCTCAAAATCAGATTAACCCCATAGCAGGGTAATGAGTCAGGGCTACGGGGGCTAAATCCACTGTCCATGGAACAGACATTTCAAGCAAAGCCTATACATGGCCTGCATACAGTTTTCATTGAATTTGTGTTCTTGTAGCTGTTTCCCAGCCATAGCCTGAATTTCCATTTCCTGTGACAATCCTTGTTCTCAGATTTTCCAGGTTTCCATATAGATTCCCATCCTTTTTAAAATATGATCTTGAGATATTGTCATATACAATTTACCTTAATTTTCTCTCTCCAGCTACTGATTTTTCCTTTCTTGACCATGCCTTCAAGTTCTGTGAAATGGCTGGTGATAATAAACTTCCAAGAATTCTATTTTCTGCTCTTGGGACTTCACTGGAACTACTCTCACAACACCTACAAAAAGAACCTTAAGCCCACATTTCAAGTCTCAGCCTAAACTGATTCTAGATTTGTCCATTGAGATTAAACTCCTTATAATTTTCCCCTGCTGTCTGCTTGTAGTTTTTGATGGTCTCATTCTAGCACAGGCAGTGCTCCAAAATACATTTTGTTCTTTTTTTTGGTATGGGCATGTGACCTTAAATTATTTATATGTTGTACTGCAATGCTCCACTATATATTTCAAAATATCAGGAATTTAGATGTAATTTTCAAGAAGGAATAAAATAAGGTTTGATCAATATTTGAACCTACAATTTATTGTTAGTTGAGAAATAAAAAGGCTGACTTTTGAATGCTCATACTCACCTTCCCTGACTTTGGTGCCTCCAAGAACTATTGCTGATATGCCAACAGATGAGGACAGCAGCCAGATACAGATGTTGATTATCTTTGCTTTGAGAGGTGTACGAAAGTCCAGAGCCTTCACAGGGTGGCACACAGCAATGTATCGATCAACACTCATCATGGTGAGTGTGAAAATGCTGGTAAACATGTTATAATAGTCAATAGAAATCACTATTTTACACAGCACGTCACCAAATGGCCAGGAGTTCATCAGGTACTCGGTGCTTTGGAAAGGCATGGTTGTGGTAACAAGGGCATCTGCCATAGCCAGGTTGAAGATGTAGATGTTGGTCGCTGTCTTCATCTTTGTGTACCTGCAGAACAAAAAAAGTAAGGCTTTATTACTACAAGATATGATTATGTCCATTCAGATAGGTAACAGTTGTCAGGCTTTGCCATAGTTGGGATTTTTTATGTCTTTTCTCATCTGTGATAGAAATGCATAAAAATGCAAGACCCTTAGGATAAAAGTTAACACAGTTTATTCAATCTCTCAGCCCCTGTGTTAGCAGTTAGAGCTATTTGCCACAGGCAAAACAGGTATATGAATACATTTAATCCAGTTGGACAAATTTCAATTCTATTTTCTCAAATCCCGCTACAAGAAAATATCAGTCTTAAATTTGTAAGTCATCAAAATGGTTTTTGTTTCCTTTTTTTATAGCTCTCTGTCAGTGATAGTGGTATTTCTGGGTTTGGTTTGTGGAATAAACTCTTATCCCATTCTCCAGTAAGAAAATTAGTTAATTGCTATGTCTACTGGGCCAGACTGCTTCTTATATGATAGTTTGTCTTCCTTGAATTCACTACAGTGCCAGCTGACACAGTTGTAGTCATTTACCTTCCTTGCCAATTTCTTCTCCTTTCTTGCCATCACTTTTTCCCAGTCCTCTCTTTGATAATGTAAAAGATCACAATTGTTTAAGTAGCATACCACAGTGGGGAAAAAACTGTCATAGCAGTATTTTTTTTTCTGCATTCTTTAATTTCATCTAAAGTAAGCCCTTGTTTTGTCCAGTTGGTAGGAACCTCTGCCTACATAGAAAAATAGGATCTGATTTTTGAGGTGACACCCTGCTTTGTTCAACCCCAATGACAGTTTTGGAAGACAGCCTGTGGATGACTGCCTCCCTCTCTGTAATGGACACAAAGGATGTTGGAGAGCCTGCTGACATGGGAATTTACTTACCACTCCTTTCTGAAATGCTTCTCCTCAATACTTTTGTTTGTTCATTGCTGTTGATTTATCATTGGATTTAATGAGATTCTCTTTCTCAAAACAGCGTCAGTCCCATATTTTGAGTGTGTGTACATGTAACACACATAGAAACACACATACCTACATTTTTCTATATGTCGCTAATAATTTACAGATTCAACCACTTTAGTCAATGAACAATAGTACAATGTGTCTATTGCCTTCAAAACTTTGATGTGTAGAATCAAAAAATATTTTTAAAAGAAATTAAGCAGTGCTGTCAGTTTGCACCCAATATGTAAACTAGCTATTAAAAAAAAGTGGGCAGGAATTTCATTTTATGACCAATATGAAATGTTAAAAATAGAATTGGTTTTTTTAAAACATTCTAATCCAGACTTATCAAGGAAATAAAGCCAAATGGTGGTTTGAAGCAAAGAGAAAAAAACTTCAAGGGGAGAGAGAATACATCCTTCTCCCCCACATACTGAATCACAAGTCAGAGATGGGCTTCAGCCCCCCAGTAGATCAATCTCCTCAACAGACCCTTCAGGAGAAGAGGTATTTTGTCCTGTAGGTCATAATATAGCCCTTAAGGCACTGTTCAAACGCAAATATGAGTCCTTACAGCTAGAAAAAAAGCAAATATAGGACATATTAACAGACAAAAATTTCCCTCCTGGTTAAAAAAAAGAAAATAAAAAATACCATCTTCAAGTGTATCTCAACAGTAAGACCAAACAAAAGTTCACTAAACACTCAAAACTCTCTGCTAAAATAGACTAATTTCCATTTAATTACATAGAATAGTAGAAGAACAAATTTACTTCTACAGACAGCCCTGATGATATTTGGAATTGCTCTCTTGTTCATATTGCAATAAAGACTGTGGAAAGTTGGAATGGTTGCATAAAAAGTACTAAAAATAAAAGAAGGGACTGGAGAAAATTCTTTGACTAAATTAAAGAGCTGAGCACATTTAGTTTATCAACAAGAACACCAAGAGGTGACTTGATTACAGTGTCTTAAGACCTTCACAGGGAGAAAATAACAGGTACTGAAGAGTTCTTTCAGACTACACAGAAAAGCATAGCAAGAACAAATACATAAAACTCTTAAGAGAGACAAATTCCGCTTAGAAACAATGACAGCTGTTTCTTTTAACAGCTAAGGTGATTATTATAGGGAAAAAGAAAGGAGTAATTTTTCCATCCACTGATGTCTGCAAATCAAGATCTGTTGCTTTACAAAGGGTTTGCTTCAGTCAAATACAAGTTAGTAGACTTAACACAGAAACATTCAGAAGAAATGTGATGACCTTTGATAAGCAGAGGTGACACAAGTAATCACTCTCCTGAATTATTATATCTGTAGATCTTTAAAAGCTTCGCCAAGGGTTTGGATAAGGAAAGTTTGCTTTCAAAATATATAAAAGAATATAAAGACTATATAAAAGTATAAAAGAATTAGCTTGACCCTTTTTTCCTTTAAGAAAATCAGAAAACTGGGGGGAAATGTCTAAGAAGATTTTATTAGCCTTGAAAAAGCAAATATCCAAAAGACTTTATATCTCACATTTCCCATTCTCTGCAACCTTAATTCTATTCTTTAATGTGTGTACCATTACAACTCCATATGCCATATTTTCCCAGCATCCCTTTCCCTTTTCTCCATCCTAGCCTTACAGTGGAAGAATAACAAACAAATGCTGTAAAGTAGGGCTCATAAACAGCTTGATTACTTTTGCCTGGAAACACTGGCCTGTGTATAAATGTGGTACTGGCCTTTAAAGTTATCAGGCAGTATAATTAAAGTCATACATTCATTTAGAAGTTTATAAAATTCAGAAATGCCTTTGAGAATCTGGACTCAATCTTCCAAACTGCTTTGAATATTTTAAATTAAATACCTAAAAATTATTAAATGCCTACATCCCTGTGAAGACATGTGCTTTCAGGTTCAACCAAAAGTCCAGATAAAGTAACAGAGTGACTGCTGTTGCTGTCAGACCTTTTCAAGTGGACCCTGATAAAGTCCACAAGATGAGGGATTTGCCTGCTTTCCTACAACTCGTTCTATTGCACCAAAACATAGAAGGAAATATGTTTTTGGGGCCTGGGGTTTTCTCACCATGCTCTCCACTCACTTGAACAAGGTTGAAACAGCGATTGTCTAATGGAATCTTATCTTCCTTTGCAAAAGTAAAATTCTTGATCAAATATTTGAATTCATTTAAGTTAAAAAAAATTCTATCGGCTTTAATTAGTTTAGCAGGACAGATAATGTAAACCTGGACATAATTGCAGCATAGGTGACACAGTAGCAATTAATGACATTTTCTTAGTGTCTGAAGTACAAGTTTCAAAGACTATTATAATATTTATAAACTATGGCTGTATAGAGTGCTCATGGGAAATCCCATGTCTAAAAAATAACTTGTTAAATACAGGGACTGCTTAAGAGAATGACAATATTTCTGATACTACATAAGAATGGAAAATCTCTCTTTTAAACCAGGTGCTAGAATCTAATTTCAAGCAGCAGTAAAAGCTCTGATCACTTAAGCTGGTGGATCTCAAGCCTGCTTGTAAAGTTATAAGCAGGCCTCAAGCCTCTGTAAACTAAAATCTAGAAGATATATCAAAACTGCAGAAAAACAGTCAAGATGAAAGACAACACTTTCATATGGATGCTTTTTTGGTTTTTTAATGGGTATGTGATGAAATTTTTAAGGAGCAAGTTTGCAATTATGTCTATTTACGTGCCAAAAGTAAAATTCTGAAAACTATTAGGCATTGTTCACTTTCCAAAAAATGGAAAGTTCTTTGAGGTTGACATTAGACTGACCGCTAGAAATTTTCCCTCTTTCTCAGTTGACTCATCATTACTGTTCTTTTCCTTCTGGAGTAGAACATGCTTTTAAGACAGTAAATAAGAAGAAATCACACCTCCAGCCTATGCTATCAATGAAATTGTGGTAACAGAAGAAGAAAGCATGCTACTAAGATTCTGGTGTGCTTTCAGAAAAAATTTGGCAAGTAATGCCCCTTATAGTTATTATCTCAAACAGAGGAGAGGACTGTGATTCTAAAGTACACTGTAACATTAGAATAGATGATAAAAGGTGAGAAAGAGGCTCTGGTCAAACTTTTTTCATGTAACTGTAATAGGATGAAGTAATGAAATGTTCCCTGAAGTGTGAAATGAGGGATGGAGAAGAGAGCAAAACTAACAAATATACTACAACATTCTCCAGTTGCAGAGGGAAAGTACAAAGGCATAAAATACAATGAGAAATATCAAACAGAGGTTTTTCACAGATACCTGGGTAAGTGAATGAAAATTAAAGCTAAAGCACATCTAAAGCAAATTGCAAAAATACCTATCAGCAGGATGCAGGCTCTGTTCCACTAGGTTCCTCTAAATGAAGTATATGGAGATCAAGCAGCTGGAAAGCTTAGTTAGGAAAGCTCTAAATCTCAAGGCTGTATTCTGAGTACACTCACTATAATACTGCGTCAGAACAGGAAGAAGAAAACCCAAAAAAACAGTCCAGGAGGATCTATTTCAAACCCTTACCATGTGGAAAGGATGGCTTAGCTCCCTCTTGGATATTTGTAATCCAATATAAAATCTTATGCCAATATGAAACTAAGTCTAAGGTAATTTAAAGAATATGAAAATGAATATGCTGTAGTTTTTATGTTTGTATTGGGTTATATGACAATTTCATATTTTAAGTTGCCACATTTTAGCAATAGAGAACGTCAGATGACACATTAAATAAAGGAAAACCTTGTAACTGCACATATTTAATGGTTACCTGTCTTAATCATCAAATCTTTTAAGACATGACAAAAAATTGTTGTCTACAAAACTATATCATGAAGTGGAATTCTCTTTACTAATAAGCATCTAAAGACACTAATTTTAAAGCAGCTCAAAACCGAAAAGCATAAATTTGTCTTTTATTCTTCCCCCAGAGAGCATAATCTATGTGAATGTCAGAAGGTATAGTTAAAATCCTTACCATTTTCCACTACCATTTCTTCTCTGCACTAGCCATAAACTGAACCTGAACAAGATCTTGTGGATTTAGATTGTTTTTTCCCTTAG